AAACAATATTTTCAAAATTTATTAGCTTTTATATTTCTTCATTAAACATAGTCTTAATTCCACTTTGAAATTAAAACAGAAGTGGAAAATCCAGATATCTCATGCACGGTATATTCCATATTTTGGTCAAGTTGGGAGCTATCCTTCACAACCTACCAGCTTTTCAGTCCCCCTAAAGGAAATGTTCTTGATAAGTTTTTATTGATGGGTAACAAAGGCATGGGAAAGGGGAATTGGTTTGAGAGCTGCTGCCTGGCTGGCCCTGATGCCAAGGGGTGCCCCCGAGCCAGCCAGCACAGGCAGCCACTGCAAACTGCCTGGCTCCCAGGTGAGCTGTGTTCTTCCCAGGCAAGACAAAGCCTGGAGATAAAAAGCAGATTTAAGGAGCGCTTAAACACTGATCTTTGGGGAAGCTACTTCAAACACCATTTTATAGCGCTCTAAGTCATCCAGATCTCTCTTAACTTGTTTCACTCTCTTTTAAAAATATTTATTTCTTCAGCAAGGAAGACTCCCTCAGATAGGGCAGTGTGACCTGTTGCACTGAAAGTATTTTTGTCTATGTGGTGCTAATGATTGATGCCAAATTCACGTGTGCAGCTCAGCTCTGCACTTTCTGCTGTGCTTTATTTTCTGTGGCTTCAAGCCTGCAAGGATCCCCAGGTCTGTTGCACTCTGTATTTACTGTCAGACCATCTACACTTTATATAGCCCCAAAATCGCTTGGGAACACATACGTGAGTGTTGCTGAATGTTCAGAATGTTCGTTCTTAAGCAAGGTCTGCAGTAAATATGTGGCATTACTCCAGAGGCTTTGCTCAGATATTGGTCATGGGGTTTTCTTTGGCAAGAATGGAAGCTCCCAAAGATTTGGGAGTGGCAAAGGCTTGGGAGGGAGCATTGCTCGCCTGTAGCAGCAGCTGCCTTCACTCACAGGGCTCATAAATACCTTGTCTGGGACCTATTAGAAGGATTTTTTTGCTAAAGCAGTTTTACTTCAGAAAATGCATTTTCATTGAATTTTTTTTGCAAGGATGTTATAGTTTTTAGGAACCTAGTGGGAGAATTTGGCCAGGACAAGTTTTCTGCTCAGGATCAAATTCTGGGAAGAAAACCCAATCCACTAACAACCCATCTGACTCACTGAAGGTTTGGGAGCCCACTGCCGCAGAATGCCCTGGCCAATCAGATCTTTGAAAAGAAATGTAATGTTTTTCTGCTGTAAAAATCTTGAAAAAAACTGGGACATGACAAGTTCTGGTGCATAACTGAGTGTAGTTTTCTCCTGGAGACTTGATGCGAAACCAGTGCAAGTGGCAATGGCGCAGCCACTCCCACAGCCAGCATTGGCTCAGGGGATGTCTTGGACAAACCCAGGTGTCCTCTGCTCTGTGGCAGGTGTGGAACCACTTTTCAGAATCTGAAGAAATACTTTTGCCAGAAGTCTTTAAAATTACTTCTTTCTCTTTATTGAAAGATTTCCAGGCTTTGTGCCAACATTTCCTCACGTCGCTTTTGAAATTAAATAGTTTACTTGCTTTTGTACTCCCGTTTCTTTAAATCCACTTGAATGGTTCAGTAAACTGCCCTTTGCCTGTAAAAATTTGAAGAAACCTCAGTATTTTAGACAATGAGCATTGCACATTTCTTCCCCATCACAGGGAAGGTAAGAAAAAAGCCAAGGGAAGGCATCAGGAACAACACCAAGGCTGTCTCTGCTTCTCAGCTCTATTTTTTCTAATTTTGCTTAGTATTCCAGTCTAAATTCTGATAAATTCCTGACTTTTCCCGCACCCTTTTCACACCCGTTCACTGTAGGCTGTTTTACAAACTGCCGCTCTTCCAGGGAAGGAGAACCTTGCCTTTCAGCCAGGAGTTTTCTAGATGGGTGTGATTGCTGGGATCTGGCATTGCTGATGCTTGTTGTTTTCTGTTGTTAACGAACTGCAGTGCGTGACCATTGTGTATCGCTTGGTGATGCCTAATTTAGAAGATCAGTGATTAATTCCTTCCATTGCTTTTTCCTCTCTCTCTCTCTCTCTCTCTCCCTGCAGGATGTTTTCACACCAGAGTGCAAATTTAAAGAATCTGTCTTTGAAAACTACTATGTTATTTATTCTTCCACACTGTACCGGCAGCAAGAATCCGGACGAGCGTGGTTCCTGGGACTCAATAAAGAAGGTCAAATTATGAAGGGAAACCGGGTGAAAAAAACCAAACCCTCATCACATTTTGTACCCAAACCCATTGAAGGTATGGAATCTGCCCACTCTCTCCATCAGTGGGGTATGGGAAGGGGGAGTTTGCAACTTCATATTCATGGTTTCCTGTGCGGAGGTGTTGGGTTGCAAGACCAGAAAGCAAGGAGAATATGTATAACACTTCAGATAGGTGCTGGGCTACACTGTTAGCATTTAATCTGCTTTTCTTCCCATATAATAAACTTTGCACATCGTCCCAAAGGGGTTTCTTAGCTTTGAGATGCTAAAGGGTGAATTTAAAAGCCTGGCAACATGAGAAATTACTGGAAAATAAAATCAGTCATTGAGCAGCCAGCAGTTTAAATGGAAGCTGATCCAGCAGTGATCGTTATGTTGGGCTCCCTGTGAAGATTTTGCCAGTGTATTTCAGTAGGTTTCCAGTCCCATATAGAGTCAGTAGAGACCAGATTTATTCCACCTGATTTTAGACTTTGGCACTCTTTTTATAGTAACAGAAGAAAAATGCATCCTACCAGCACAGCTGTGGATGTACTTTGTATGTCTACCCTGAGATGACTTAAATCTGTTTTTTCTCATATATGAGGACATCCTAGTTAGTCACCAGGGGGTAGAGATACCTCATCATACTTGTTCAAAGTTAGATGGGATGCTGTCACACCATTTCTTCGTCACAGTGAGGCTTCAGTGAAAGTCATGGAACTGAAGTTTTGCCCTTCTGCTGATGCCTGTACACTGCTGAAGTGTCCCTCAGCCTCCTGCCAGGGCATTTTACTTTTTGTGGGCTGGCCCCTGATAAATGGAGAGACGTACTGTGATGACCCTTGTACTTCATAGATACTAACTTGACTCTGGAAACAACTCTTTTTTTCTGCTGCTTGGGAACAGCACTACTTTTTGATCCCCAAACTAGGTATGCCTTTCTGACGCCGTCTCAGATCTGCCAACTGCCACCTCAGGGATACAGCAGTCTGGAGCTGGCCTTGGCTGCATGGCTCTGTGCTCCCTCTCACTGCTCCCTCTCACTACACCCCTCTTGGCTGTGGGAGAAGGGATGAACTGATGCTGTCCTAGCAGGTGCCATTCAAAAGTGGTGGAGGCCACAGCCAACTCCACACAGTAGTAACTGTTTTAAAAACTTCCCATCTCAGGCTTGAGTGGCAAGCAAGTGTGAGTGACAGGCCAGTTCAGAAAGGCAGGTTGAAATCGTGTTGGACCACTGAAGCAAAGCACAATGAGAGAAATTCATTGCAGCATTCCCAGAGTATCTGTAGTCTTTGCATGGGAAATGGAGATGTTGAAGGGGCAGAGAATATCATGGAGCTGCTTGTCCTGTGCTTGTTTTCAACAGCTTTTATGAAGCATTAGTGGGATTAGTGCCCTTAGCCCTCACTGAGTTGTGCTAAGGAACAGGGCCTGCTTCAGGCATGGGGTCAGTCATCAGCTTCTCTTGTACCTTGACTGGGAGAAGAGTCTTTTGCAAGCGCCAGCTTTCACAGCTGCGTTTCCAGCTCCTTCTGGTATTTCTTTGCTGCCTGGCTGGGTGTTGGCACTGAGCAATGGGTTTCTTTAGAATCCAGGCTTCTTTTTGTAATACAGCTTGCATGGCATCTGCTGAACGGCTCAATAGTTGTCTTCTGCATGCATTAAACTAGGCCATTCCTGCGGCTCTCCTCATGGAAAGCCTTGTCTTAATGGAGGTGCCTGACCTCCAGCAGAGATCTCATTGCTGCAAATGCTGCTCTGGCTTTCATTTTGAAAAACCCAGCCCAACCCGAGAGCTTCCCTTTCCCGCAGTTGCATCCTCCCACACTTGCTTCAATCACAGCTGTCACATAACCTCCCGAGCGAGTGAGCGCTTTGGAAGTTGGCAGCCAAATTAAGGGCTCCTCCACTCCTTCCCTCCTCCACATGCTTTGCAGTCAGCCTCTGTGAGCGCTGCTGCATCAAAGAGCTGGCAGTCTCCCAAGCCAAGGCACGTGTCAGCTTCCCAAAGCATTCGGCTGTCTGGGACTGTGACTGCAGACGGAGGACTGTGTTCCCAAGCCAAAGATTCGTTGTAGGTAGCAGAGGTTTGCAGGGAGGATTGGAGTAAAACACACTCATCTCCACGTGACTTCTCTTTGCTGCATCTATCAAAGTCCCTGCAAGCAGAGCTTGCAAGCAGAGATGTTACAGAAAAGGGGCAATTCCTGCCCTGCTTTAACAGCTTCTTTCTTTGTCATGACTCTAAGAAAATATTCAAAGCACTCCCTTGCTCTGTTTGCATGTTCCTTCTGCAGAATGCTGTGGCTTGCCCCAGCGTGTCAGCTTTGCTACTTATTCAGGCAGCAGCTTCCATCCACAGGAACTTTGCAGCTTCCATCCACAGAAACACCCCCAGGTTTCATCTTGCTCAGTCCGGTACCGCCATCAGCATTAGCCCTACCACATGATTGCTGACACAGGAATGAATGCAAGGAGGAATCTGCTCCCCTGGGAAGGAGAGGTGTCACACACATTCTAGGAATCACTTCACCCACCACTTTAGTGGCAGTTATCACTGAGATGAAACTTCCCAGTTGTTTGTGGTGACCAGAAAAATTATGCAGCAGTTTAGTGAAGAAAGTGTTTGCAGGGAAAGGAAACACAAAAAAGCCCTGATTGCTCCCTGAGCTCTTTTGATTCCCATTGCTTTGCCCTGCTTTCTGAATTCAGAAGTCGTCTTGAAATTGCAAATGGACTGGAAACTAATACATAAATAGGAAATATCCTCACAGGTAATTTCTAAGTACTACGTGTGTGTAGATGTGCATACATACACAGTGGTATCTGTATATGGATGTATGTTATCTGTGACTTTCAGCAGCTACAGCTTTCTGCTGTGCTAAACCCACAGAATGTTTTCACTCATGTAGATTTCCAGGGTGCTGGAGGTATTCTGTACAAAAGTCAGTAGATACCAACTGGAAAAATTTTGGGTTTTGGTTGGTAGGATTTGTTTGTTTTTTTAAATAGGATTAAGCTTAATCAATATGAAAGCGCAAAAAACTTACTCAGTAATAACAGGGGAGACGTTAAGTTCCTCTCCCATCTGTGCACAGGCAAAGCCAAGGAAAACAGCCTGGTAGGCAGCAGTTGATATACTGTGTGGTGCCAGTTTTGCTTAAAAACACACATACGCAACACATTTCTTTTGATATTTTTATTTCTTATCTCTGATCTTTCAAGCTAAATGATCCCTAAAATGCAGACATATAGATTGAACTAAACTGCACAAGGAATGAGCTTGACTATAACTGTCAGTTGGACAATAAGCAGTCTTTCAGAGCACTTTCAGTCTCCTTAAGTGTCTATAATGATTAGTGCTGGACAAACCCTACCATCAACAGTGCCTCTTGTTCTTCTAAATATCCTAACACATCTCAAACAATGGGAGATGTTTCCAGTCACTTAAGTGAGAATCTTGTCAGATTCTTGTTGTGGATGTGCTCTGTTACTTATATTTCCTTCCTTATATTTCCTTCTTGAAGACAAAATTTACAGATTGCTCTCCCAAAAAAGTTACATTTCTTCTCACCTGACTGAAGCTAGAAAGCGTTTGTGCTGACAAATCTGGCCACAGAAAGCAGAAAACTCTTCCTCCCTCTAAGTCAGACCCTAACTCTAGATTTATGGTTCTTCAGCCCTCATGATGTGAACACATCTCAAATATGAAGGTTTTTTTAATGGCTAGTCTGGATCCATTTATTATCACTGATAATCCAAGCAGCCAGATCTTTCCCAGTGTGATTCCTCAGGGACGCAACATCCAAGTTTTGTTAACACAGAGTCCTCAGATGTTGCAAAGAAGTACAAGGCAGTGTTGAGTAGGAAGATGTGATAGGCTTAGTGAAAATGTTTCAAAGGTATCACCTTAATCCACAAAACATAGAATCAATAGGCTAGGTTTGGAAGGGACCTTAAATACGATTTGGTTTGACCCCCCTGCCCTGAGCAGGGATGCCACCAACTTGATCAGGTGGCTCAGGGCCCCATCCAGCCTGGCACTGAACACTTTAAGAGGTGGGACATCCACTTTATCCATCTTTGCTAACACAGCTCCTCTCTTGGGTCTATCTTTCAAGTGGGAAGGCTTTGGTATATTTTCTATCCCACACTAACTCACTTGTTCATCTATCAGACTCCCAGTGATCTCATTAGATGGTAAATGTGATGTATTTTAACCATGATTTTGCTTGGCTTTTTGTCATCTTTTGCTGCCTTTATTACCTGAACAAAGTGTGATTCCCCCTGGCAGCATCTTTCACATTTTACCATCGAATAGGCGCGAGTTCAAATGCTTCTGAAATTCATCTGGGACTGGGCTTAGAACACAGTAATTAGAGGCAGAAAACGAGGGTGCCTAATCACTCACTCCCTCCTGTCCCTGACTGTTGCTGCTCAGACAATTAATTCTCTCCACTGAAGCATTAGCTAATGCAGCCGCTCCTGCAGATACCGACACCCAGAGCTGTGGCATCTGTCAAGGGGAAGAGCCCGTCTCTGGGCTGCCTTCCAGAGGATGTGGGCCCAGCCCTGCCCAGACCCCAGCCAGGCTCCATCAGCGTGTAGTGATCCTGCAGGGCTGGGGACCTGCCCACCTGCTGAACGGCAGCTTAGAAAAATTTTGGTTCCTCCTAACTTGCGAGAGTCTGGGGCAGGGAAAGCTGGGGGTGAAGATGGATGTACGGGATATTTCTAAGGTGCTTAATAAGCTTTTTGACGTATTCTAGGAAATGGAGTCTGATGCATCCGCTGCATCTCCTCAACTTGCAGTGATGCCAAGTGAGAAATGCTAGGGTCAGGACACAAAATATTGATTCCTAAACTCAGGCAGTCCCTGGATGATTTCAGTGTCATCATGTAGGTGATGTACCAGTGCCATGCCCAGGAAGCAGAAATGAGACTGGAATCCTATGCCAGCATGTAAACAAGAGATTGAGCTGCGTGTGGGTGACAGGCAGCTCCCTCCATGCCTTTGTCTTCGGAAAGAATGGTCCCTGCCATGCCCTTCCTCCTTACTTTTACCCCTAGTCTCCTTCCCAATTTATGAGTCATTTTTTTGTGAAAATTTTTTCCTTGTGCCTGGGAATAGCAGGCACTGCTGGTTAGCAGGAGAGCAGGGAATTGAAAGCCGCAAGAACCAGACATGGGCTCAGCTCCACTGCCGTTCACCCCCTTCCAATAGTGCCTGCAGCTCTTCAGCAGATCAAGCTAGCGGCACTTTCCAATTAAAGCATGAATATGGATGTGTTGATTGGAATCTAGGGCATAGGAGCTGATTATCTGATTGAAGCTCCAGAGCATTAGCTTGGTTTCCAGACATTAAGGGCTGTATTTGGCTTGGTGTGTGGGTGTGGGTGGGTGGGAGAAGCAAGGCAAAGCAGGGAGGAACTCTTGTTCTAGCGAAATTGCTCATCCTTCCAAAGCTCCTTGTGCTCTGTGCACCAGCAGACCTCCCAGGCATCTGGGCATGCTGACTGTCACACTGCTGCTAGTTTACCTCAGTGCAGGTGACAGGACAGTGTGCCTTCACACACACACAGACACCAAACAGGCCTGCCAGTGAGTGCTGCCAGTCCAGAACCACAAAGATGAGCTTCAAAGCTGGGAAGATCCGGGCACTCACAACAGTCCATTTGCAAACACCCCCCTCCCCGGTCCATGACTAACATCTCTGTGCATGAGTCACGCTCAAGCTTCCTCAGTACAAAGAGTAAAAAGCTGCAGTCCAAGAGCCTGTGTTGCACAACATGTTGGACTGTCCTTAAAACCCCCATGTGTCCGTGTTCACACACATCCATGTATCCGTGTGCACACACCCGTGTGTCGCGGTGCATACGGATTTGCAGCCACTGCTGAGCTATGACCGTAGCTCAACACACGTGCACAATCTCTTGTGCATGATGCCATGTAAGTACTGCATACACTGATACTGTAGGTGTATCTAAATACTGAAAATATGCTTGTCCTATACTGCTACAGATTTTCTGGCATGGGCTGTTGGCACAGCCTGTCTGGTACAGAGGTTTTGACAGCTCTGTCTGAAAAGCTGAGTGTAAGCAGCCTTCAACCATGCCCCACATCAGTACTTGTATCGTGCACTAGACTGGAAGATGATAAACTTATAATTCCTGCCTTATTTGCTTGCTACATACAGGGTTTCCTTAATTCATAGCTGCAAATGTTGTTTACTTCTGTAACCTGGTTTATATTCATTACTCTGTGGGCCTTGTTAGCAGCTCAGTGTTTTTGCCCAAAGGCCATGGTGAGACCAGGATGTTGAGGAAAGGCAACATGCCATGGTGCTATTGCTGCAGGCTTTGCTTGTGCTTAGCCCTTGTGGCTCAGCCCGATGGGATGTTGGGGATGGGTGTGGGTGAGATGAGCTTGGTACATGTAGCGGCCTGGGTGAAGAACTTATGGAGGTCCCTCCACCTCCAACTTGGAACCAGGGAGGTCAGGATGAAGGCAACAGTGCACTTGAGGCAGAACTTTGTGTATGGAATGTCAGGGGCACTGAGGCAACACTGGCACAAACACCTAATTCTGCCGAGCAAACATCATATCAGAGAATAAGGTCAGTAACAGAAGTGATGTACATCCTCAGTGCTTATCAAGGGCTCTGCAACTTAGGATATGAAATCACAAGGGCACAGGTGTTTCTCAGTTATTAAACATTACATACTTTCTTTAAGAATTTTTTAGGTACGTTACCACCATCACTGTGTTGTTGAGTGACATTCTCCGAGCTCAGCAGCTGAAAGGGACTGAGAGCACCCTTTTCTGTCTGTTGCTGCCATGCTACACACTGTCCTTGCAGCATGCAGACAGCATCAGTGGTCTGGGCGTGATGGGCAGTCCTGGCATTGCTCATCTTGGCCCAGACCCATGGGACAAGTCCTTCATTTTCTCTTTTTTTTCTAATTTTCATCAAAAAATATCTCCAGTAGCAATAAGAGTTGGCAGAGCAGTACCTGCCTTGAGCCACGCTGGGAGGCCCAGTGTGTGTGTGTTTAAACTGCTTTGAAAACCTTGCATGAAAAATACTCAATGGGAAAAGTAATATTTCTTCACTGCTCATATATTCAATATCTTTTCTATTAATACACAGTTGACTGCACTTTGTCTCTGTCCTGTATTGTTGCACACTGCTATAACTGTTTAGCCAGGAGTAAAAAGGCAGAGCAATAATATCATTTGCAGTCTCCCTCTAATTGCTGGGATTTATTTGCAAATCAAGAGAGATTACATTGCCTTTTCATACATAGAGTCTTTTTTTTTCATTTCTTCAGATAATTTTTAAAGTTTTGTTCTTGCTGATTACCCGGAACCAAACCCTGATGTACTCTATCCTGTGTTGGAGCTCTGTGCCATTGTTTGTGATGTGACAGCTTTCCAAAATGAAGCAATGCACAATCATTTCTTTCCATTCTAATTTTTGCAAAGATCCAGACATGACATTGGCAGTCTGGACTTACCTTATGTTCTCAACTCCAGTTTGCCTGCCCTTGAGATGCCTCACTATTTCAATCACATCTACACCCTGCCACATTTGCATTGAGCTCATCAGAGATGCTCCCGATTGGTGTGAGGCACTGAGCTGCTCAGCCCATGCCCCTGCTCTGGCACACCTCACATGGCACAAGGACAGCCATGAGGACTTAGTCCACATGGTGAGTTGGACAAATGCTTTGTGCTACACACGGGGACATGGGGATGAGCCATGCCTTGGGCAGACGTTGCCTTCTCTGACTGTCTAGGTTCCAGCAAGTACATATTTGTAGGACACACATTGCTTAGCCATGGTCTGGAGGGAAGGCTCCCTCCATCCACCCTGTTCTCAGGTGCTGCCAGATGACCATGCAAAGCAGGGATGGCTCCTGGCTTGCTGTCACTGAACTCATCCCCATGTGTCCTCTCATGGCCTTGGCCTTGTCTGGCTGTCTTGATTTACAGAGGAAAAAATAAGAAGCACTGAGAGCAGGTCTCAGCTCTTGGCTGATGGAACCAAATAGGCTTCAGTCACCAATTCCAGGTCCAGAACTCAACACCCAGAAGGCTTGGATGGCTCAGATATAGGTGTAATTTTGATTCAGGTCTCTCAAGGGCTTTTTTTGGAGGTTGAGGGCTGGGGACCAGGTAATCTTGGACCTGTTGTTAGATAATGATCAACATATCATTATAATACATGGTTCTATGAATTGGAATGTTTATTTTATATGTATGACTATAACATGAAAAAATTATAAAGCACAGAAAACCTAGAAATACTTATCTGTGAGCGATCTCCTGTTTCTCTCTGTGCCTTTGGAAGAATCCTGAGACAGAAGCAGGACCTGACCAGCAGTGAGGGCAGGTAACAGATCCTGCTGGGTAACGGGATCTACTGCTGGGTCACTGAGGTTTCTGTGTGTGTTAATCTTGGGCTGGAACTCCAGCCTCATATACAAAGAAATAATTCATTATGGTCACAAATGCCTGTGACTTCAGTGCTGTTAATGGGTGTCTTTTCTGTTCACAGTGTGCATGTACAGAGAGCCATCGCTGCATGAAATTGGAGAAAAACAAGGACGCTCAAGAAAAAGTTCAGGGACACCAACCATGAATGGAGGCAAAGTTGTTAACCAAGACTCGACATAGCTGACAAATACCCTCCCTTCTTCCAACTCCTCCCCTCCCACCCACCTACCCACCCCACCTGGTGAAACCACACTGAGACGATGACAACTGAGCAAGGCAGGACCTACCAGTAGTGGCTAGGAGTGCGAACTCCAGAATCTTTCTTTGTGTAGGATGAGAAAATCGAATCCCAGATCCTGCCTGTTGCAACGTTTTAAAAAACAAAAACAACAACAAAAAAGTGAAGAAAAAAATGTTTTAAATCAGGACTCCATTAACATTTTCAAAAGCAAACTGTTTGCTCTGTGATCAAAGGGGGAAAAAAATCTCATCTCTGCATAATAATAATAACTAATAAATATAATAATAATAAAAATAAAGATGTTACCTTTAAAAATAAAACAAAGCTTTTGGAAAATTGAACTTAGCATATGATGTGAGAGAAACACGTGGGAAATGCAGCCTGGGACTGTGCTTTGTGTCTTATACTTTCACCTCATGTTCACACCACTGTTTTTAACATCGTTGCTTCCCTGGGGATGGATGGGATTTTTCACAAAGCAGGAAGGATAGGGATAGATTATGACTCTGTTTGCTCTGCTATTAGTAAAATATGGCCTGTCCGAATTATGAGTCTGACAGTTATGGGCAATGAAGTAGCTACTCTGTATTCAGCTTTTTGCATCGACATTCAAACACTGCATAGTTATTTGTTGCTAATGTCACTCTGTATGTTTGTCCCAAGTCTGGCATTTTATGCCTTTTTATCATAATTATTTATATTTATAGGCTTGTATTAGTTGCCAGGGGCATTTCAGAAATGGGTTTTCAGGTCGCACAGGATGAAGTGATCATATTTATTAGGGGAGAGTTAGGAGATAAAGGGAAGGACGGATAGCTGCTTGCTTTAAAATAGGAAACAGAGCAAGAAACACTACTGAAATCCTTGCTGTCAGATGGAAATGGTGAGGTATGTGCTGTATGAGTGCGTAACGCAGGGATTTCAGCGAGGGAAGGAGGGTGTGGGGAGGGAGCAGCTGAGGTGTGCAGAGGAGGGAGCAGCTGTAGGGGGACATGGGTGGTTGTGCCTGCCCAGCTGTGCCAGGGAGAGCACAGCTCTCCTTCCAGCAGCTGGGGTCTCCCTGAGTGTTACGGCTCCACGCATACCGTGTTTGACACGTTCAAAGCCGAGGCTACAAACCCCTCTAATCTACAGCCTTACCACTGCCAAGACTGTGATGGGATGAGTCCCCCTGAGATGCTGCAGCAGCGTGGGTGTGGGTGTGGGTGTGGGCACGTGTCTTGCCAGTTCCAGGGCTGCAGATGGCTGGAGAAGAACTTCAGAGGCAACAAATTCACAGATTGGGAAAGGCAAGGAAGAGGGCAGTGGGGTGAGGGATGCCCAGCACTCAGCCCACCTGCAGTAACAAGGGCATTAGTGGGGATTTGCAAGGCTCTTCCTGTCTGGACTTCTCTCTCCTTGTAGTTTGGAGGTCAGCAGTGAACCACACACCCTTGCTTCTGGGTGGAACTGAAGCAGGGCAATATGGGCAAAGCCTCTTTCTCTGACCACACACATTAACTTCAGTCTCTGACGTGTTTCAGCACCCAGGGCCTGCAGGCAGGAGGGCCAAATGGCAGCAGCAATACAGCTGCTGTTACAAAAACAGGCACTGCCCTGGCCAAGGCGCCTGGGAAGCCTTTGCTGCTCAGACTATGGGCTGCTGCAAGAGGTGAAAAACAAAATGGAAAAGTAAATACCCAAGGGCCTGGAGGGGGTGACGGGTCCGAACAGCTCTCTATGCAAGGGGAGCCAGCTTATAGCCTTGCAGTTACAAGCTGGGTGGGAGCGTTTATGTCATGTTGTTGAGGCTCCTCTGCTATTCCTTCCAATGCCTCAGCTGGCCAGTGCCACACACACAAAGCTGCTGTGACTGTGGGAGAGGGGAGTGCCAGGGTTGGTCATGTTCCTGACCTGGGTGCCCCCCAGCTCCACTGCACTCACCAATGCTGGAGTGTGTCAGGGCTCGGTGAGCAGCTCTGTACAGGCACAGAGTAAGTGGGGAAAGCAAAGACACAGCCAAATTTCAAGGTTATGGAAGACTCCCAGGATCATCATGAAGGAATGAATTTCAAGCATGTCCTTTTGTGTTTTGAAAAGTTGAAACCTTGAAATAAAGAGCCTCTTGCCATGGCTCTGCCATTGAGTGCTGCACCTGCAGGTAGCCCCCTGCGCTATAGGTTATCTGGGGCTGCCAGTCATGCCAGAGTGACTTACTGTTGCCTTCCAGTCCCACAACACTGGAGCAAGGTCACGAACACATGTTCAGCTTGGGAACACACAGCCCTGTCTAATTCATTGCCTACATTTCAGATCCCTCACAAACTAGAGAGCACCCCAAGTTAAGGGGTGGGGGAAAAGCTTACTCACTGGAGACGTGCAATCAAAGAAATGGAGTCTCAAGACCAACACACTGAGCTGGCAGGTCCCTGAACTAACCAAGCACCAAACACTAGGCCATGGTTAAGTCACTGAGCCACAGCCTTTCCAGCTGTCCTTGTGGAGAGGGAAAGCGCAGCACCTGCCACAGAACAGAACATCCGCAGCCCACCATGATACCACAAACCTCTTCTGTACCCAGCCACCAGCAACTTGCCAAGGGCACTGATATCATCAAGAGCAGCTCCAACAACACAGCCTAAAAATTGCTGTAACCTTGTGTGCAGGATACCCTTTGCCTAAGCCCTAGGAGACCGTGGACAACAGCAGATCCAGTCCTACCATGTGCTGATTTTTCCATTGTGTGACTCACCACTCTCCACATTAGGTTTTTGTCTTGTTAAGAGTCTTTGTCCAGATCATTACAGGAGTCCCTGAAAATGCCATATTTAGGCTAAATGTCAAAATAATCTGTTCCTTTGGTCCATGTTGTTTGAGATAATAGCTCCCATACGACACTCACTGAGCTTGCCCCAGAGAGCCAATTGTTCCTGCTCTCATCCAGCGTCTGCACTGCCTTGGAGCAGGTCTTCTGCCACGTGTTGAAGGGGAGTGCTGGCTTTTCAGGATGCCTGCTTAGCCCAGGCAAACCACAACCCACATATGATTGCATAAACCATGATAAAAACTCTCCCACATACCTTAAGAATCCTCCCACATAGTTGTGCTTTTCGTGACCTCAAGGAAGCTGCAAAATTCATCTTGTGGTGTAATGCAGGGACATCTGACACCATGATAGCCCAAAAACCAGTGAGGCTGCACAGCCCAGCTCCTTGATGTCCACAAACACCAGCTGCTGACCAGGAGCTGCTTGGCTCTGAGTGCCTTCCATATGCCTGAGATAGTCTGGGGAGATCCACAGCATTCAGGTATCATGTAGGGCTTCATGCATTTTTTTTTTCTTTTTTTACACAAGTACCTTGCAAGCTTACTCTTCAGGCCATATTTTGAGGTGATGTGGATTTTGTTGATTACCCATCTGCCTCTTCCCAATCTGCAGGGAAAAGGGGAATCCACAGAGACTTCTTTGCCTTTTGAAGTTCCTGCAGTCTCTCCATTGCTTCTTTCTGTTCTTGCTCAGTGTTAAAGTCTTGATGAGTGACGTTTCTTTTGTTTCTTTCTTTAGCCACACATGCCACAACCATTTAGGGAGCTTTGTGACTCAGTTTAACAATATAGTGACTACAACCCTTGTCTGGCTACGTGTCACTCTAGCAGGACAAATTCCCTTCCTAGGTATGTTGACATGACATTGGGCAAATATGTAGCACAGAAGATGGCCAAGAGAAGTAAATGATAAAAAAGAAAGACGTTTTCATCTTACCTGGCCCATGCTAACTATGGTCAGTCTGCAGCAAGCCTTTGCCCTCTGAGTAACAGATGCTGCTATAGAAGAACTTGGATGTTACAAGACCAGCAGTAGAAAATACTTCACAGAAATATGGGTACATTTAAAACATTCATTTTGCTTCACCCTGTTTTTAATTGTGGTGTTGGCATGGTTCTGGCAGTACATGCTGTGCAACACAGCTCCACTCCCCTATGCATCAAGGGCAAAACCTGGTAACATGGCTCCAGCTCGGACCATAAGGATTTTCCCAGTAAAAAAATGAAGAAAAAGCCACTAGTAGAAAAAGTGTGCCATACTGCACCAGCAAGTTCTGCCGTGAGTGTCAGCACTGGCATGTGACAATGTGCTATAAAGCGAAGCTGACACTCAACAAAGCAATTTATGAAAGTTGTCTCTCAACAACATTTTTGTTTGCACTCAGATAGGTTCTGGCTGATAAAGGCCCACACAATCCCTCAAGGTGTCATGGGCCTCACTTTACACCTTTGTATCTCAAACTGCACTGATTGTGCACTAGAAGAGTTTTGGCCCCAGAAAAGCATCATTGCCACTCTGAGCAATGCTGAAGAAGTGATGGTGTACGCACCCAAGGCTGAGCAAAGCCAGCAGGAAAGAAAGTGTGCCATCCTCCCTGGCTCCATGCCAGCGAAACTGCAGCATAGATGCATGCTAGGCATGAAAAACATCTTTTTGAGGACTACAGTTCCCAAAAAAAGAAGGCATAGAGTTGTCATTAATTACAGCACACAAACCCAACCTTTGGTAATGGCATGTGCTAAAATACATTACTTTTAACGTGTGAGATGTTGGCCCCAAAATATGTCCAGTGCTAAAACTCTATTAACTGAGCCATAACTGTAGCCCTGGTCCTAGATGGCAAAGATCAGTTTGTATGTCACTGCATCAAGGGAATTAAAACCAAGAAAACATATAAGTGAGAGCTTTCAGGAACAGATTTCTGCCTCAAAACTGTAACAAAGTTGTTAGTTGCTGCTGTGGGATGACCCACTGCACAGACCTAGGAGTAAAATCAAAAGAAACACCACTGCATCTCAGTGAAGCAGAGATGTTTCCATGGCATTCATATCTTCCCTCTCCCCCACCAGTGCTTCAGCCTTCAGGGTGATGGAAGGCTGTTTCCATCGAGTAAAAGGCATCAAGGCTTATATCCTCCTCACCAGCATGGAGTAAAGCTTTACTATTATGGTTCATCTGCTGAGCAACGATCATGACATCAATCAATTTCCCAGTATTCTTGTTAGACACCTTGATTAAGGATAAAAGAAAAACCAACCAAACAACAAAAAGCCCAACAACGAAACAAAAAACCCACCCCAACAAAACACTAAAATAATCCCTTAGCCAGGCTGATACATTTTTAGCAACATGT